TTATTTAATTTGATTTAATTTAAATTTTTTTTATTTATTCTATTTTATTGTAGTTTTTTGCTTTGATTTGCCTTTAATAATTGCGTGTATAATTTTTTTAATGCACTAAATTTCCCAAGCACAAATAAACATAAAATAAAAGGTTTAAATAGCAATGCAATTCTCCGAATGAAAATAAAAAATATCATAAATATATTTATTTTCATGTTTAAGTGCCGTAAATGTTAAATAGAGTACAAACATTGAAATATGTTAAATTGAGTAAAGAGAAAAACATAACATTTGCATTACTAAAATGCCTTTCGTCATCAAAACATGTTGCAGACAGACCATAATCGTAATACTATATACATACATATGATGTACACTTGTAAGTATGTAATTATACTCGTAAATGCATTAATTAGATGCTTCAGTTGTCGATTTCAATTTACTCATGCAAGTTAAGTTATATACTATATAATAATTCACACAGTTAGCATATAGTGCAATTATATGCTGTGTGTTTGTTGGTTTTGTTGTGCTTTTGCAGTTAGTTATTTGCCTTTTTTGTTTGTTTGGTTGGCTAACTAACCGATTGTCTGTGATGGCTGAATGCTTGAGCGCATAACGGACTACACACCAACACCAGCACATGGGTATATATGTATGTATATAAGCAATGTATATATATGTGTACATTGAGAGCTACACTAACTGTTATGCGTTGGTAAATATTATACAAATTTTAGTTAATAACACTGTAATTTTTTTCAAAACCGCCTCGGGGTAATCGCATCCAATGGAACCGCAATAAAATCATCTGCTTTAACATTACGATTTACAATTTGTCAATTGACATTTGCAATTAGTATTTACACTTGTGTAGTCAAAGGCATTTAGTATATAAATAAGTGTTCCACATACATATATACGTGTATGTCAATATTTGTAATTTCATTGCATTTAAATAATTACATACGTGTACGTTTGTGTTTTTGTTTTTGGTTTTGTAAATTAATAAACCTCACAAAACAAATGCAAATATTTTATTTTATTTTGAGTTTTTTGATAATTTAAATTTCATGTAAATTAGTATATGCAAGTTACGTTACATACATACATAATAAATAATTACCTGGCCATGTTTATGTTATTTACTAAATAATTCCGATTATTATTGCTAATTTACGGTTATTTGGTTAGCTTTCGCGGAATGCTTTTATTTATGCATCAAATCTGGCATACAATGCTAATATTCATTAAAATAATTAAAAAAAAAATTGTCTAAAATAAAATAAAGTAAATAAGTAAATTAAATATGCTAATGCATTTACATACATAAATTTTTCAATTTGCATTTCGTTTAACCTACTTTTACTAACTCTTTGTGGTATTAATTTAATATTTCAGAAATGTTGTTATTTCTATTACAAACAAACATATTTGGGACGGAAGTGGAATGTTTATTATTAAAAAAAAAATCAGTAAGCAAAAGAACTAGTATTAAATAATTTTAGAATTTACAATTTTTATTCCATCCACTGGCTGTTTTCTTTAGTGCTTCTTCTACTCTACACAAACATGTTTTTCGCCAGCTCTTAAACTCAAATCGTTTCTGGCTAATATGCGGGTCAGATGGAAATGAAATTTCTTTTCAAAATGCGATCGCCTCTCGACATGGAATCTCAATCTAATCAGTCGTTCGGAGACGTCTTAAAATAAGCTCTAGATCCTTCCATGAAAACACACCACAAACTGAAGTACGAACTCTGCCAAAAATTTTTTAGCGGTTATATTGCACTAATTTTGTTTTCCCGTAGGTTTAAAAAACCGTGTCTTATTCTACAGTAACTGTTGAAAGATTCTTTTAACTCATTTTCAGAACATACTAATTTTATAGAAGAAACACTTCCCCAGCCTCTTTAACTGCGCCTCAAATGAGCCAGAAGATGATAGCAAGTCCGAATTGAAGTCCACCCACACCACACTGATCAGAAGTTAACAATTCGATCTGACTAATCCAACATTATACAATGTAATAATGGAAAAATGTTTAAAAATAGCCTGAAGAGCTCTGCTTGTTGGCATCATAAGAGGTTTTTTTATTGTATTTCTGTGAAGCTGGCAATCAGTAGGATAATAAGTTTCTTTTTGCCAAGATGTTTGATAATAAGTGAGGTCTAAAAATAAGTGCTCTTTTATCGTAAGACTTTCTTAACTAAAACCGGAAAAAATATCACGAGCTGCCAAACTATATCGGTGTGGTAATGTTTGCAAGAGAGTTCCCGGTATATGCCACCATCGGCATTGATGATACAACCGCAAAGCGACGGTGTAAGATCCAGCTCGATGAACGTAAATACTTCAATATTGAAATTTTCTTTATCAAAAAAATCCACTGGTGCATCCCGTTACTGAGCTAAATAAGAGTTTCCTCTGATTGCCTTTATTTGTTGTCTCGAATTGGCTCACAAAATATATAGAAACCACTGACGTGATATTGTTGAGTTCATTAAAAGGCTTAAATAACAATAAAAAAAAGAAATTTACTAAGAGTTTTAAAAAACACTTCACTTAACACCTTTTTAACTTCCAATTCGCTGATGAGCAAAGCTTTAACTGCTCAGTGTAAGAGACAAATGTCTGCGACCTTCTGCGATCAGTCAGCCATTGACTTGCTCACTTTGGCGTAAGAAAGGTTCGACTGGCTGATTTGGTGCGTGAAAAGACCCTTATACAGTTATTCCAAATTGAGACTTTTAGAAAAAAACAGAAAAGCCCGAACGGGAAAGATGTCTTCACAAACATAGCTCGTGATGCACGGCAATCTATAATGGACTATTTCGTCAATCTTAAAGAATAAAAATGTATTCTGAAATGCATTTGTGGTTGAATTGAATTTGACTGAAATGTATTGGGCGTCTTAATTTTGAAAAAATATAGAGCCAATGATTCTCTCTGTGTATAGATAACACCAATTTTATTCACAAAATTACACAAGTGAACTTTATAGCTGAACGAAAAATCTTGTTCTGAAACTCAAGCTCGGTGAGCATCGCGTTTTGTATCATTTATCAAAAGCACAACGCGCTGGATGATCGTTTAGCCTCAATCATTGTACGAACTGGATTTTTTAAATCCTCAAGCCTGTATCACACCTTAAAAACTGTAATAAAAGAGATGGGTACAGCTTCAATTGCGTGATGACGAATGAACTCGCACGGCTCTTCTTGGATGCAGAGTACCGACTTCTGTTTGCTCTAATTACCGACTCTGCTGAGCGATTATGTGTGGTGTAAAAATACTAGCTTCGATAGTTGTACTGCGTCATTGAAACCCATACATCTAAAAATACACCCTTTATAATTAAGATTTACTGAAAAGCTTTGTAGTCTGTTAAAAATCAATTCGACTAACGTTAATTTTCTGTAATACCTTTTAAGCTTTCTCAAATATATCCGCATTTGTTGTTTTCTGAAGTACATCTATAGTTTGAAAAATATTTAGAATTTTCAGAAACATAGTTGGGACTCCCTGGTTTTTTTTTAAATAATTTTTTTTTAATTGAAATTTGGGATTTTCCGTTTTTTTATATTGTTTTTTTATTGAAATTTTCTAAAATGTCTAAGCGGCTTTCTGTAAAAGTATTATCTTGTTGTTGTTGTAAATTCTTGATTCCCTAACCCGCAGGGAAGCGGGGAGGTAAAAGTATAATATTTGGGCTTTTCTGAAGCGAAGTGATATGAATTTGAGTTTTACCAATTATGCAGGGGTTTCCAGCAAGAGGTGTTATTTTGATATTAAAAAAAATATTTTTTGAGATCGGATATTTATATAAACATAAAGGGAAGGGGGAAGATATGCCAATAGTATTTAATGGAGAGCAATATCAATTGGCTAAATTTACAGAACCGTATCCCGCTTATGAAATATACAATCAACACGTTGTAAGTGGCCCTTTGAGGTCTTGAACCGACGTTGGCCTGTTGACGAAGACCTTGTTTTTCAAGTGGTCCCAAAGGAAAAAGTCGCAAGGTGTTAAATCACAAAATCTCGTTGGCTAATTGCGATCATCTCTTCGGGAGATAACACGGTCCGGAAAATTTTCCCTTAAAAATCGATGCTTTCGTTGCTTGTGTGGCACGTAATACCGTATTGTTGAAAGTAAACATTGCCCAGTGCAATACCAACTAATTCCGGTCATAAAAAAATCATTAATAACCTCTTGCGAGCGCAAACCACATTCACCGTAACTGTTGCTCTAGCCTTTTTTTTTTTTTTTCGAAAAAAGTAAGGTCCAATGACCCCACCGGACCATAAATTGCACCAAACAGTAGCACGTTGAGGATGGCGGGTTTTCCGAGCTCCAGATGCGACAGTTTTGCTTATTGACGTAATCATCGAGGCGCAAAATGTGGCCTCATCAGTCTAGATGATTTTTTGAAGAAATTTTTGTATCATTTTTATGTATTTCTAAGACCTAATCAGCAAAGGGACGACGTTGTTGATGATCGGCCGGCTTGAGTTCTTGTATTAACTGAATTTTATAGGTTTTAAGACATAAGTCTGTGTTCCTTCAACACTCAGCACTCAGGGTTACTGCAGCAATATTCTCAGCTTTCTTCTTCACAACATTAACTAATCCCAACAGTTCCATTTTTACCACAAATTTCTGTATTGCCGTCCAAAAAGGTGCTCCAGGACTTTCTCAGGGTTTCACAATTTTTTATAGTGAATTTGAATAATTTCAATGCGTTGTTGAATCGTTTATCGTTCCATTCTAACTGGCGTAGTTTCTACTTGTCTAATGTCAAATAATTACGGCTTCAAAAGTGACGTATGCCTGAAGAACAGGTTATTCAAAATAACATCTCTTATTGGAAACCCCTTTATTTAGGTTTAGTTCATTACAGATTTCCGAAAATGTTTTTGGAATTGAGCATTTCTTATTTCAGTTTTTAAAAATATTCAGTTTGGCTTCAAAAAAATAATCTCTTTTTTAATTTCTCCACTTCCAGGTTACATACTCGCCTCCACACTGTCGGCGGATCAACCCGAACGCCCACTGCAATTACAATTGGACCAACTCTTGGTGCACATAATGAAAATACTCAATATTTACTATCATCTCATCACACAACAGAAACCGCAACTATTCGTTAAAGTGCAGAAAAGTGATATTTTCGTAAATGCCAAGGAGTTGGCGCTGGTGCAGAGCAATGGATACTTCGGAAGCGATTACATTTATATAAAACTTTACAACATTTTAAGAAGTGCTAATGACAGCTACAAGGTAAGCGTAATTCCGCCACTTCCCCCAAGACAAACGTAGCGAAATAGCGGCGTTGCTACGGCTACGCGACGAATGCACGTAGCTCCACGAAATCCTCCACTCAAATCCCTCAAGTTTTGCACTCCAAATGCATTGGCAACGAGCATTTTAATAATTTGTGTATGTGTGTGTGTGTATGTGTGTGTATGTGGTATTCTTTTATAGTTCGTTCTGCCATTCTCTTATGTTTGAATTTTTGAAATTTCCTCACACACGCCGTCGATCAGCTTGGTTGGCTGACCGGCTTTGGCTGCTGGTTGACGCGCATTACTGACTTCACTCTTGAACATTACGTAAATTGTAAAAGTTTCGCTGGCTTCTCGCTCTTTGCAACCGACGCAGCAGTGGAATGGCAGTCAGCTTGGCCGTTCTCCCCGGGTTTCGTACTCAGCTTCGCACATTTAAATTTCGATTGTGGCTCGGGACTTTATATGTATGTGTAGCTCAATGCCCAATGTCTACAGGATTGTTTGTACGTATGCCTGAGAACGTGTAAATGTTTGTATATATGTGTGTGCATGTATCATACATCAGTGTGTCTGATTGTATGTAAAATACTATCCTGTGGTGCTTTTGCTTTGGCTATTGCTTACAGCCATATATAGAGCTGTCCCAGTTCTTCACTTATAATTTCAGTGTTTTGTTGGTATTCTTGTTGCTGCAATACTGTGCAACCGCACGAATTCCATGCCAAATGTGTATAGGAGAGATTTTGTGGCTTTTCGCGTGGGTTACTAGGATTTTTAGTATCTGATACTTGTGGTTTAAAAAGTTGTGCAAACTGCGGAGCAAAAATCATAAAGACAGTCGAATCGTGGCGAGCAGAGGGCAAGGGAGTCGAGTGCAGCGGAGTATGTAGGGTGATGAAAGGACGCCAGACTCATGGGGCAATGCTTGTAATTGGTATCTATTTAAGTGCTCAAAGACTAAGTTGTTCGCGGTGCTCCGTGTATGTACATATGTACACATGTGTCCTTCGCTCCCTGCGATGTGGTAATTTGTACAGCAGCGTTTGTAGTTGCAATGTGTGTGTGACGCTCACCAAAATGGTTAGCTGAGAAGATTGAAGAATAGGAAAGAGTAGAGAGCGACCCGCCTGCAGTTTGCTTAATGCTCTGCCGCTGTTTTTGCGTCTGCTTGCGTTGTCGTATTAACTCTTTTCTGGTGGTGTCATTTGCGAGAGGTTTACTTTTAGGTTTACTTCGCTGGGACGTGCTAGCTACACCATATCTGTGCAATCTGTGAATTATATTTCAAATAATAACTAGAAACGAACACCATCAACTTTATATGTTGACCCAAGCGGGTTCGAAAGGTGACAGCCCTTGGCCAGAAAAAACCCGAGTCAACTCCGGTGAGTAGAACCGGCTGTCGTTAGAGCCCGACGAGATGGTATACTGACAGCCTGAATGCCTTAAACTGATTTCGTTTACTCCTAAGTGAGGCTTATCTAGCCGCTGCAACAACAATAACAATCATCACAAAGTCCAAACTAAAAGATTTCGGAAAGCCGAGAAAGTGGCTGCTCTGAAATATCATTATTCCCTGGTTGTATCAAAGAGGTTAGATGATGATGATGATAAATATAAGCGTCGCATTTCTGCTGGAACAGCTGCTTGGGGTATTTTGAAGAGTGTCTTTAATCTCCCAAATCACTGTAATTTATTTCCAACGGAAGCTGCTGCCAATAAGCGGAGAAAATTTCGAACTTCGAGCGTTATTCCATAATTCCACTCATTTAAATAGTCGGAAATAAAGACTTTGCACTCGGTTTTGGTTTGCGTACAAGTCGCAGTGCGCTCTCTCTTTCTCTTTTTCTCTCTGCGGCGTGAAGCTTAATCGCAGTTAAAGTTCTTTTGCACCAAGTATTAGTAATCGGCGCTGTTTAACTAGCGAGAGTTGGGTCAAGCCGGCAGCTTTCCCTCTTATGTTAAAGTTTTTGGCCGAAGAACTAGATTCTCTCCTGCTCGAATATATGGTAAGTGTCTTAATTTTTTTCGGCTTATAGATTTTTATGCTTTTTTTTATTCCATTTCCGATATATACTCGGTGATTAAGAAGCCTGCGATCCGAATAAAATTTATTCTTCTCTCTAATCCAAAAGGAAATTTAAGAAAGACCCGGTTTTTTTGAGGTCAGGCAACTGTGTCGTAAGGGGAGCGAGGAGCTGAGCCTTGAGAGGCAGCTTGATGATCTCTTTAATTGTACTTGAATCTTTTCGCTGACAAACAACTTTAAAATCTGTCTTAGTTTTGTTGCATTCATCAGTTCTCTGGTAAATGCACTTCTCGAACATTTTGTGGCTCTGATTGAAGTCGCTTTTACATCCTGGGCTGGACATTGGATTTAAGGCCAACACTTCGTCTTAAGCGTAGCTTTTTCTAGAATTGAGTTCCTAACTTTAAATTGAACCCAACGACTCTTTAAAAAGCGTATAAGCAAAGAGGCTAATTCCCTTATCTCGAGATGCTTTGACTGCATAAAATTAATTTTTATTGAATTCCGACTAATTTCTCACAATAATTTCAAGTGTAATCCACTAGGCTTTGTTTAAGTTCAAAAATACACGCTCAGACTTGCCTATATTTTACTTAGATAAGATTCCCATACACACACACACACACACACACACACACACACACACACACCCATACATAAAACATATACTAATATAACTTCTGTTTTTCTATTCTGTTCTCGCCCGTCTCATATCCAGATAACGATAAATCAAGAATCCGGCAGGTTATTAATTTCGCTACTCCGGACGTGCCTCAACGCTTTGAGTTTGTGCATTGAATTGCGCGCGCACACACACCACGCACCCTTGCCAGCAGGCACGCCCACCGGCAGTCACACACCCAGCCATGTTCACGGTGGTGGTGCAGGAAAACAACGTGGCAGCAACAGTCCCAACAGCGGTGCGGCCACCACGGAAACAACGCCGATCCATGGACCTAACCTAGGCGGCAGCGGGCAGAGCGTCGGCTCGCCAACAGTGTTTCCAAGCAGCGCCATTCTAAAATTAATTGAAGAAATTCTCCAGTATTTGGGCAAACTCGTAAATTATGCGCCCGGCGAGTGCATCGCATGTCTGCGGCAACTGTTGAAATATTTATTTGGCCAAAATTATGGCAACCAGCAGCGAGAGTATTATGCCACATTCATAAGACCGTATTTTGTGGTGCGCAGCAAAGGACAACAGCTGCAACAACAGCAACTACTCGCGCGCCAGCTGCAGCAGCAGCATCTAACGCCACAAAAACAGAAGCAGCAAAAATGGTCGGCTCATAATAACAACAAACAACAGCAACCAGAGACACAGTGGGGCGCGGGCAGCAGAAGGAGCAGCAAAGGCACGCAAGGCGGTGGCTCGGTCGGCGGTGAGCACCAGCAGGCAATGACCGTGTTGCATGCTATAAATTCTAGTGTAACAACAACACCACCAGCAACAACATCAGTTACAACGCCCGCAGCGTTTGGAGTAGTATCGAGTGCAGCAGCAACAGCAGCATCATTGAGGGGCGCGGCAGGCGACGGTTTGTCTCCGCCGACAACGACTACGTCAACTGTCACACACAATGAGGCAAATATAATTGGTACACAAGCAACTTATGCGAACCCTGGCCAGGCGCCCATTGACTTTGGTCATGCCACTGTCAGTGGCGGTGCTGCTGTTGCAAGTAGCAACAACCTCAATCAGCTGCACTTGACTTCTACGGAATATTATCGTTTGATGGGCGAATTATTTGCGAGCGGCCTAAATTTGCAAGTTACCACGAAGTCGGAGCGTGCCAGCGAGTGTGTCAAGCATATTAAATTGTTTGAGCCGCTGGTTATCCATTGCCTTATGGTGAGTAGACAGGCTTGGGGAGAGGGAGAGAGTTGTACGACTAAATGAATGTACTTCCTGCTAATGAAGCACACTTCAATACACACACACACAGTTATGGTTGTGCATATATTAATTTGTACTGCTGAAGTTCCACACATACATATTGACAGATTTACATGTCTCTGTGTGTTTAATGAATTTAAGAATAACTTCCTTTAGTTTAGTTTTAGCTTATGTAGATTAGGTTATAGGTGGATGATCTGGTACTGGTTCTACTTAGATTAAAATACAGTTTATTCAGGACCTACAGCCGAAAGATGTTTGTTTTTAATACCCGTTAGTTCACTGATGTCTTAAGGATTGTGAGTGCCAAGGTTCTTCACCCTCGCGAAAAGGGGATAAGGGCCATAGTACCCTTTTGGTCTTAATTCATTCCTACCAATCGGTTCCACATCCTAAGCGAATGGTACAGCAAGAGGATCTCCGATTGATTCATTCCGGGGTAGACGGGGTCCCCGTTGGACCAAGAAGTTTATGCAATTCCGATGTGTGCCAGTGCCCTAATGGTCTTATGGAAAATAATAATTAGAGTACCTTTTAACTAGCCCTGAGTACACAATGGCCAGTACAGTCGCCTGGTGGTCAGAATAAATACCAGCGACCGCTGCAATAGATTTACGGCTTCCTTACTTGCAACCACTTCCGCTGAGAAAGTGCTCCAGTATTATCGAAGGCTTCATCAGTTCCTTGACTTACCCACTCGTAAGTCAGTTGAGAGATCTAGTTATCTATACGCTAAGGAATATCTTCACTACACCCTAAGAAGTTTCGTATCTTCAGTTTTCGGACAAATCTGTAACCCTTCACGGGACAAAAATTCCATAAACATGGATTCATAGAGATAACGACTGTGAGCTTACGGGGCTTCTACACATTACCGACCAACTTCTCTTTATATCTGATTTCGATGAAATTTCACAGTTACCGGGCTGCCCGAAGACTGCAACTGACCCGGTTTTCTAATTTCAGCTCTTCTCTACAAAGTGAAGGTGCTGGTCAAATACTTGGCATCAAAGGCATCGATGTAGGGTCTTGCCTTTGAGAAACTCAATCAACTTAAAAAATCGAATATTCATGTGTCGATAACCTAGAATCTCTTTTTGAGATGGAGAAGTTAGCCAGATTTGAGGGAGTGACAATTACTTGCCTGAGCGAGAGTTGCGATGAAAATACTTAAGGTTTCTTGCTATATTTGTGCAAAAATAGTTTTTTGCGTTTAATACTTGACAGAAACAAGTTTTTGTCTGCTTCCTAGAAATTAAACGGTTCCATTAAAAGCTTAAGTATTTAGTAGGTGTAGTAAATTCTCCCCCTCCCGCACTAGTACTAACTCGTTCACCAAGTTGGTCAGTCATTAATATAAGCAATAGAGACCACTAGAGCCAACCAGTTGTCGAGTTGTAGGTGTGTGCGTAGCTTTGGGAGTTGATTGAAATGATCTATCAACAGATTTGGGGAGTAAACATTTATTATTTACAATACTCCTAACTAACAACCAACTAATATGTATATTATTGATTTATGCTCATATACATACATACACACATATATACGCACATCCGATTACAGCCGCTTACATGCAAGCAAACATGAGTAGGACATAAATAAAATTGCATTTTGTAAATTTCCCAAACTATTTTCAGCTATTCCTCAAATCGAACGCACGTGTCCAAGCGCCCATATTGGAGTTGTTGTCGCAGCTGCTGGAACTCAATGTCACTTACAGTGTGTTGGACTCGAAAAATGTAATATTTGATCAGATTTTAAACAATTTGGATTTAATTGAAAATGGCATAGTGAGGTGAGTGAGTGTTGAATGTTGATTTGTTGCTGTTGTTGATACTTGACTACCTGTTTATAACACATATATTTACATATTGCAACTGCAGTTATCTAAATGCGGCATGTGGGTGTTGGTCTATCGCAATGACCTACGGCAGTTACTGTTGCTATTTGACATGTTTGCGGGTGTATTTGTGATTTTGAGTGACAAACTATGTTGCAGAGAGAAGCGAGCTGGCAAAGCAAGTGGGGGGAGGAGGTGAGGAAACAGGAAGCATTGCCGGAAACAATGGAGAGTCTCCTGTTTGCCTGACTGTCTGTGGTGTCTGTGGCCGTACTAAAACACCAAAACACCGTTAACCAAACCAAAAATACACAAGAGTGTGTCCGTGTGTGTGTGTGTGTGGAAGCTGTAGGATTATTTTCATTTCCAATTCGAAAATAAAATGTTATCTTTGGCTGGTGATGATGCATTTGAAATTCAAATATTTCTCTCGCTTTTTATCTAGTTGTGTGCGTGTATGATTTTGTTTTGTTTTTGTTATTTTTCCAAATTTGAGCTTTAAGCATTTGAAAAGATTTTCTATGGAAACCTTTTGCTGAATTTAACTTGTAAGGCTGGTCTGACGTGTGAATAGCCGATGAAATTTAAAGCTTAAAAGACATTTGTGATTCAAATGGGAATTGAGTGATTAAATATTAATTATTATCAATGAATGAATGAGTGCTCAAACTTGGAGTAAAGTTTAATTCCGAAAAAGACCAAGGTTTTGTAAAGATTTGAAAAATAAGTGGGGGAAATTATTTTTAAAAAGGGAAATTATAAAATTATATATACAAAAAATAAAAAATAAAGGTAGAGTTAAAAAATTAAAATGTTTAAATAAATAAAAAAATAAGATATCTAAACAAATTAAAATAAAATAAAATAGTAAAATAAATTAAAATAAAAAAAATAGTTAAATAAATTAAAATAAAAAAATAGTTAAATAAATTAAAATAAAAAAATAGTTAAATAAATTAAAATAAAAAAATAGTTAAATAAATTAAAATAAAAAAAAATAGTTAAATAAATTAAAATAAAAAAATAGTTAAATAAATTAAAATAAAAAAAAAATAGTTAAATAAATTAAAATAAAAAAAAAATAGTTAAATAAATTAAAATAAAAAAA